ACGTCTCTCTCAGCTGCTCTCTGACGTCTCTCTCAGCTGCTCTCTGACGTACGTCTCTCTCAGCTGCTCTCTGACGTCTCTGTCAGCTGGCCCCGAGAGGAGTCGAGCAGAGTGCACGTGTGAGCCTATGGAAAGCACAGGCGGGCCGGCTGGGCCAGCGCCAGCTGGGTGATGAGAGGAGACGCACATGTATCCTGCTTCTTGGGAACCAACTCTTACAAGCACATGATATGCGCTAGCCAATGTTTGAAACCTCTGGGCTAGCTTCTTGATTGTGCTTGTCTTACAGATAGGTAAACTGAGGCCAGAGTAAGAGGCAAAGCACAGGTGTGAAGCGAGGTCTGGCTGCAGTGCGAGCTCCTTCTGGCCGCGCTGCCGGCTTGGCAGGGAAGGAGGATTCAGCAGTCAGTCAGCGTGACAGGGTGTCACTCCTAGGGGACCGGCCCCTACATGGTAGGACCAGGAATGGGATGAGGCTGGGCTGGTCTGACCCAGAACCCCACTGAACCCCACGAGCCCCTGGGTGCCAGGCACAGTGCTGGGCACTGGGCAGAGAGAGAGCTCTCAGCCTGCCCTGGGCCTGCGGCGCCAGGCTGCCCAGCACACAGGTTCCTGCAGGCTACCAGACTGCCAAGGCCCCAGCAGAAGGCCCCGTCGCCATGGTAACCACTGCCTAGGCATTTCCGGCATGGGGGGGTGGTTCGGGTAGAGGGGTTGCCGCATGGATGTGGATGTAGGTTGCTAGCTGGCTCACTGGGTATAGAAGTGGGTAGAGGGAGGAGGGATTCTGAACAGAACCTTCCAGAAAGAAGCCCTGAGGTGAGTGCAGAGGGTGAGCTGGCAAAAGAGAGGGGGCAGACAGTGTGGGGGTTCTGAGCCTGTGTGTAGTCTTAGGCACACGAGGAGGCCTCCCTCCCACCCTACACACACACACACACACACACACACACACACACACACGCTCGCTGCCCTTGCTGTCCCAGCCTATTCGCGCCCACTGCCTGGGTGGACCCTCCTGAGGAAAGCAG